TAGGTTAACTTCCTGTTTTATTTACCGTAATTTTCGGACTATAAGCCGCGCCTTTTCCCCCATTTTTCGACGCTGCGGCTTATATAACGGTGCGGCTAATCTATGGATTGTTACAGCTAACGGCCACCACCTTTAACTCTATGGGCTCTATGGCCGGTCCGCGGACCCCCACCTTTAAGCGGCGGGTTCCAGCAGGAAAAGCTGGAGGCCGGAAAAGAGTGGGACAGGTAGCGCGCAAAAGTAAAAGTGGAACCGAGAGTGGTATGCCGCTGCTGCGGCTTATATTCAGGTGCGCCTTATAGTCCGAAAATTACGGTATATGCTTAAGGTGAGTTTACGCTGTTGACAGGAAGTTGTTGTTGCTATGGAAACAACATGACAGAGAAAACTTAATATCTTCTACATATAAAGACGGAGAAAGTAAAGAACAAAGTCTGAAAATATCAGTGACAATTTCTCAAGTTTCCAAAATCTAAAGTCCCATAGTACTTTAACATAATTGTCTTTGTTACTTTCGTTGCAGTTGTATGTCTTAAATGTAATGTAAATGTTGCCTTTGTGGGTGGTTCGGGTGCCATCGTGTGGCCTTCTGTAGGCATGGACGTACTTGCTTCGGCTGTTGCTTGGTCGTTGACCAAGTTCGGGGCCATCTTCGTGCGAAATTCACAATTCCATATTCGTGTGTCCATCTGGTGTCTTGTGACAGGGGCTTAAGGGAATATGCAAGTGGACTCACACATGATGATGTTTGTCTTTTCATGGGATTTGTTTACAATATTAAATGAATTATACCTACATTTGTATGATACCCAGACTTTATTTTTTATGACATGCACGTCTGCTTCCAGGGGATGAAGTTCTGCAGTGGAATGGGAAGCTGTTACCGGGGGCGACCATGAAGGAAGTTTACAACATCGTCCTGGAGTCTCAAGCGGAGCCTCAAGTTGAGCTAGTGGTATCCAGGCCTATTGGGTAAGTCAGGGATTAAACACACCCCTTACATCTGTTTTATTGGATATTTGTGAAAAATGCAATCCTTTAGTCATAACTCAGTCTAAATACCACCCTTATTAACTAGGGATTGTTGACTCAACGGTTTCTAAGTTGCCATTTTGTCTCCTCCATCCCCTTTAAAAAAGCACTTAGCCTAACCCTATTTACAGGAGGGTATAAAGTGGATTATTCCATAAAAAATGAGAAATGGCTGCATCACATAATATTTTGTTGGTCTTAAAAACCAAGCCAGTAATGACTAGTTTGTGAGTGCATTAGAGTGGTGGTGATGATGTATTTTGTAGGCTTTTGTAACCCGGAATTTAGCGTCACTAAGGCTCACTCAACAAAATAAATGGGATTTTCCATTTGATTTCGGATTATTGCAGAAAATAAGATGTGTGGCAGTAGGATAATCTCCACATACTAACACAAATGTTATGATTTTTGAAGCTAAAATGCAATCGGTAGAAGTAAAAATGTTAGGCTGTGAACAAATACCATCACATTACTTCCTGTAACCACCACTAGGCTAAAGGCGGCTAATGTTACCTAATTTCGTAGAACAAAGTGTTCTACGAAAGTGTTCGGGCCTTTTAACCAAAAACACTGTCAAAAAATCGTTGACTTAGTGATTTGTTTTACAGGTCTCAGAATTATGATATTGTTATCTTTTGTAATTATATAATTTGGTATTAATCCTTTGGACAATAGACATCCCCTCCCATCAATCTTTTGTTTGAACTTAATTCTCTACAGATGTCTTAATTGGGTGTTATTCTGCGTTTTGTTAGCAATTAATTGAAATTGTTTTATTTTAATTGTACCGATTGTCTCTTTTTCTGAATTTGCCTATAATTACTCTAACAAATTACATATTCCGGAACACTTAGAAGAAAGAAAAAACATAATATCTCCACATGGATATCTGAAAAAAGGATTTTAACGCATTTACATACAATAATAGCATTATTATTACTGCTAGTGGGATCTACTCATTTATGACACCCTGCATGACCCTTCATAGAATCTTTTTAAATGTCAGGTTTTACGTTTGATCTGTTTAAAAAACAATATTCTCAAACAAATGGTGATACTCTGGAATCCATAGTGACCAAAGTGTTAAAAATGTACAGTTTGTGATCAGTATATTTGCTAAGCTATTGTTGTGAGTAAGTTTGGCCTATTTTTGTATTGGGTTTATAGTGCTTTTATTTTACATTAAAAAAAACTAAATGTTTCTTCAACTTTTTGCATCCTTGCTTTATAATAAGATTGAACCTCATTTGCTCTTTGATGGGAAAAATAGTTGAATGTATTAATTTTTCTCCAAACACTCGCGAAGGGTTTATAGAAAATATCAGTAAGTAATCTGCCCCTTTTATTAGGACCCCTTAATCTTCTCATGCTTATGGAAACTATTTTGGTTTTGCTGGGGCCATTTTTCATCCCTAAATGAACTCAATTGATTCCTATTAAGTAGTTATGCTAATTGATTTTTAGATAAATTGCTACAGTTTGTTAAGTCCATCTGAAAAAACTGAGAGTTCCCTTGAAGGGATGCAAAATGGCCAATGGGAAATGTCCGTCAATGTAGCATTCCTTTTGCAAGTTTTTTAAACTGTTTGTGCGGCGTCTGGATTTTCTCTTTTTCATTCCCAGTCCAAGTCTTAGGATCCCAAAGTGAAATCCAGCACTCGCAGTGTCAAATACTTCTTTATGTTTTCCTCTATCCCATTGTTTGAAAGCGGGGTCATTGGGTTTCATAAAAATATTGATTTGATTTTCTTTACTTGTTTTACATTTTTTGATTTTGGAATGGGCTCAAAAGCAACATAGGCTCCGTGAAACACTTATCAGTATAATGCTTGTATTTCAAATCAAAAGTTGACATTAAAAATGTTTTTTGCTTTCTTTCCAAGAGTGAAATGAGAAGATGGATATCTAATATTTTAAATTACTGAAGCTGGGAGACCAATCAGCTTGATTTGTTCAGGTTTTATGCTCGTTCAGTACATCATGATCCATCTTTTCCTTTTAACCCTCAAAAAGAAAATGAATAAAGTACGAAATGTTGAACTTTTACTTAATTAAATGTAAAAATATCAGTTTGTGGCCACATGGATCACTCAACAATTGAGAATACAACCTCCCCATGTGCTATCAAATAATCACTGAGAAAACCTCCTGCATCTACCAATGTTGGGATGGACACTTTCAAATACTAAACTCTTCCTCTTTATAGATTTAACATTTTAAATGAGAAATTACACTGATAAGTGTTCCACAGAATACCATTCTTTTCTTTATGACAATTAAGCTAATGCAATGGCTTCTGGCGTTTCCCATGGGATCCTTAACTGTAGTTGTGGTGGTGGTGGATGATAGAAAAGATGTGGACAGAATTGAGCTGCTGGTTCCCATCCATTCTTATTATTATTTCAGTCAAAATGTCTGAATGAGTCCGGGAAAAATTGAATTTATGAGAAGAAATTGTCTCTCCTCACATTTTCTTTTGTTTCTCCATATTTGTTTTAACCACATAACATTTTAATCTCCAAATAACTTTGAATTGCAGTGCTACTTTCTTCCACTTAACTACTTCTACATTTATTTGCATGTATGCCTGTGCATCGAGAACACTACTAACTTTGTTTATTCTGGTTATATGCCAGTTTGAGAGTGGCTGACAAGAAGTTTTCTGCTTCCTTTCAGTGATATCCCAAGAATCCCCGACACCTCCCACCCTCCATTAGAATCTAGTAAGTATGCGGGGTGTTGAGACCCCTCTTCAATTCTGTTTTTATCTTGCTGATTGTCTTTTTTTTGAGAAAGCAAATACGTCTGTGTCAACCATGGTGCTGGAGCTGGGAATTTATTAGCCTAGCTTAGCATTGAGATTAGAAAAATTAAAGAGGCCCTATTATGCTTTTTGGTGTTTTCCTGTCCGTTTTATAGGTTTTAGTGCATGTCAATTGTTTGCCAAGTCTAAAATACCCAAGTTCCCTCCAGACGGAGTTTCTCTACCATCTGCCTGATAAGCCTCCAATTGGACTTCTTTGTTTACTTCTGTAACATAATGACCCCACTATGTATCACTCCTGCTTCTATTGGCTAGCACATTGAACGTTATGTACAAACTAATGTATTTTTAACACTTTTTTCTCTTGTCTAGGATTCAATTTCTTGTTAGAGCTGACTTTCTTTTAATGAATTCCCCCCTTTTGTATCCCCAGCAGGTTCCAGTTCTTTTGAGTCCCAGAAGATGGACAGACCATCTTTACATGTCCTGTCTCCCTCCAGCCCTGGGATGCTCCAAGACGCTCCACAGTTATTGCCAGGGCAGCTCTCAGTGAGTCTGCACACTTTGAGTGTGTTGGGCTGTTGATGTGTTGAAATGAAAACCAAGCATCAGATTTGTTTGTGTGTTTCCCACCCAGGTGAAACTTTGGTACGACAAAGCGGGTCATCAGCTAATAGTCAACGTGATGCAGGCTGCGGAGCTTCCTCTTCGGCCTGACGGGCGGCCCAGGAGCGCCTACGTCAAAATGTACTTTCTTCCTGATCGCAGGTATGCCCCATCTTCACAGAGAGTGCTTGAAAATGCATTCCGACAGGTATTAGCAGAGTACATTTGGATGAATAAAGCTTGTGATCTAATCATAGGAAATTCCCATGAACAATAAGTATGTCCACTGAAAAGAGAACTTGGTTGTCTGACTCTCTGATTGTTGACAGTGACAAGAGCAAACGAAGGACAAAAACAATGAAGAGGACCTGTGAGCCCAAGTGGAACCAGACGTTTGTCTACTCTCATGTCCATCGCAGGGACTTCAGGAACCACATGCTCGAGATGACGATATGGGACCAACCCAGGTCACCGGACGAGGACAGCACCTTTATGGGAGAGGTACCACACACACACACACACACACACACACACACACACACACACACACACACACACACACACACACACACACACACACACACACACACACACACACACACACTTAATTAACTTCTGAATGGGAACGCCAATACACTAAATCCCATACAGTGGATATTTTAAACACATATAAAAGCTTTTCTGTATGTATTTTTACCAGCTTCTACTGTCTGCGTTATGTTAATAAGCAGTTGTGAACGGTAGCAACACATTTCCCTATCTGTATTATGACTTGAGCAGGTCCTGATAGAGCTAGAGACGGCCTTACTGGATGACAAGCCTCACTGGTATCCACTCCAAACCCACGATGTCTCATCCATTCCACTGCCCCAACCCTCCCCGTACCTGCCCCGACGACACACAGACGTCCCTGGAAAGAAGCTGCAGCGTAAGTCTCTGTCTGTGAATTCTTTAAGGATACTGTGAAGGATGTCGTCGAGAAGAGACGTGTGGGGGTTCGGTCTTAGTCATTTTTCTGACCATTCTGAAAAGGAACAAAGTATAACATGTAGGGCTGCACGATATTGAAAAAAACTGACATTGCGATATTTTTTTCCCCTGCGATATATATTGCGTTTTTTTCAACTATATTTAACCGGATGAAGGATTTTAGTCATAGACGTCTGGATCTTAACTGGTTGACTCATCATACCTTAAGTCATGATCTAACATGTCATGATAATGCATGTTGCTTACCCTCAAATAAGGGGGCACATCTGTGAATGAAGAAGAGAAGAACCTTTTTGTATCCAAAATAGTTCCAGATGGCAGATGTTGCTTTTCTTTTTGGAAGTAAATCTTCATTCTCCCCGGTATTGTCCTCCTGTTCCTCGCTCATTTTTTACCGGTGTTTTGATGGTCTGCAAACTAGCGGGGCAGGGCCTGCTGTGATCTGATCAAGAATGATTGTGATTGGTGGTTTGCTGTGCATGCAGAGCCTGCATGTCACTCACTCGAGTACCCCTGACATGAGAGCTGCGCAAGTTTTCCTTTTGTAGCAAGCAGCAAAATAATTGTAACATCACATGTTTGAGTTAATTTACCTACTTAAAGGTCCCATGTCATGCTTTTCCGGTTATTACCCGTCCCCTTGTGTGTTATGAAGGTTTTTATGCATGTCAACGGTCTGCAGAGTCAAAACCCTCAAAGTACACCCTGTAGCGAGTAAAACTCTAACACAGAAAATACCTCCCCAAAACGCCTCGTTGGAGATACGTCACTGTCCATTGATTCTTCCGGGTACCGCATGATGTCACGCGTTACCCGGAACCAAATGGACCAATCCGTGGAGCCGTT